ACACATATCACACCATCAGAGGTGCGCCGCTGCTTGACATGACTGGTCTTTATGTGATTAGTGTAGCATTTATTTTAAGACATTGAACAGTGTGACACATGACGATGCTCCTGCTCCTCCAGAGTCCAGATCAGGAGCTCGGTGCGTGTGGACCAACAGTCATGGTGAGTTTTTCTTCATGTTCTTTCAGTGTTATATGGAGCTACATGTGTCACACTGTAAGAAATTACCTGTAAATTTTACATCTGACAATTTTGTTACCGGCAATTTATTGTAATATTTCAGTTTATTGTTGTAAAATCAATTTACAGTTATTTGCAGGATTTGATTCCCAGGTATTTCTTGGGCTTATTTGACAGTGTCCTGCTGGTCTTGTGAAAGCACAAATGAACTGTATGATCATTTACAATATGACCCTGTATTTTAATTTACAACTTTTACCTGACAATTTTGTTGCCAGTAATCAGCTGGAATTTTAAATTACAGGTTATTGCTGCAAATCATATTTTCAGTTACAGTCTTTTTTTATTTTTTTTTATATTATTTTGAAATAATGCTAATTCTTCCTCTTCAAAACAACAACAACAAAAACCAAAAACACTTAAGTAGAAGGAAAACCATTTATTCAACAATAACAATCCAACACAATGGGATTAATGTAAAATCAGTAAATCAAAATTCAGTCTTAACATTGTTGGGTTGAAAACATTTCACACAAAAAATAAAATAGGAGGGTGCTGTCCATTCAAAAATAATAATACAATATTCCAAAAAATATAAAAGTATAAAAATATATATGTATGAACTGCTAAAATATGCTTTTGTTTATCTTTTTTAACCAATATAAAATTCTCACTTTTCCAAATTTTTGGCTGACGACTCTTAGTGTCTTTGCAAATGTTTTATTGACACAATCACAAATAACAGTTGATCTAAAACAGGTTCCTCGAGATTTGAGTCGTACAGACAGTGTAAAAGGTCAAACCCAGAGCTGGGGACTTTTGGACCAACACAACTGGGAGTTATTTTGACCCAGCAGTTTGTGTAGGTCGAGTTTAATATTGAGAATATTCTCTCCGACTCACTGTAAAGAACTTCTCTGTAAAATAAGGATAAAGTGCTGCAGCAGAGACACAGTCCTTTACTGATATTTGACAACATTTGTTCTGTGAAATAACTTTACACTTTATTACTGTTTTGGTGAAATACAGGATATTTCAGTATGTTTTTATTGACCGTAAAGTACTGGCAGCAGAGACACCAGCACAAAGGACATAAATCACACAAATATTTATTTAAACAGCCAGTGTCAACATGAAAACCACTACTGTAAAATACAACAATAATAAAAAAAAGAAATTAAAATGGTTAGATGTCTCAGAGAAACAAACCAAAGAGATTCAAGGAGCAAAGTAGTAAAAAGAGCCAAAAATAATGTCTGCAGGACGAGATGAAAATGAACTAAATTGTTCGACAGAATGTCAGAGGCGTCACCAAACATGAAAAGACAATAAGTTGTTTCCAGACTATTGTTTTACAAATAATGTTCTCTTACCGGACTGAACTTTATCTTGGATCAACCAGTTTCACCAAACACTGAGCGACTGAAACAGTCTGTGTGTTTTATTTATTCAGATTAAGAGCGGTTTTATCCTCAGAGGTGTGGCTCCTGACTTTTAAGAATCGCCTGAGGGAGAAATGAATGTCTCCATACGAGTTGTTCCTCTTTCTGGTTTTGTTCCAGTGTTGCAACTGTAAACATCAGTAAACACATCAATCACAAATAACTCAGGCACAAAGAATAACATGTCATGACATACTTTTTAAACTGATAATATCAAAGTGTTTTATGGTTTAATGATGCAGCGTCAGTCAGTCACAACAACACCACAAACTGAGAGAAAGAGACACGAGACACGAGAGACGAGACAGGAAGACAGGAGACAGGAGAACGCTCACTGACCTGTACGATGTCCCACTCAGGTCCACCAGGTTCTTCAGGAGTGTGGAGACGTGTGTTCACTTCTTTTGGACGTCTTCTTGGAGACACACACTGTAACAAATCTCCTGTAAATTTTACAGTAAACATCTGGCAATTTTGTTGTCAGTAATTCCCTGTAATTTAAAACACAGCTAATCAATGTATTGTCATAAGAATAGACAGACTCATTCAAACATTTATTCAAAAAACAGTTAACACAAATACACATTAAAATATGTAAACAAACGATGTAACAAAATATTTAAGAAAGTTAAAGACACATGTAAGTGACAGTTGGACATGAGCTGATGTATAAAGTCCTTAAACAGCCTGAAGTCAGAGGTCAGAGGTCAGAGCTCTGAGGGTCAGAACATCTAAACGTTTCACATTTATGTTCTCATGTTTCACTTTTAACTTCACGCTCCACGTGTTTTAGAAGCAGATGTGTTGTTGGGACACTGTCACGTGTGCTGATGTTTCAATTGAAATTGAACTCAACTGGTAAGTTTGAACTGAAACCCAAGTGTTGATATTGATGATCAGTGGTGATGTGGAGATGAAGCTTCATGAAGCTCCATGAAGCTCCATGAAGCTCCATGAAGCTCCATGAAGCTCCATGAAGCTCTGAAGCGTTTCATCCATTTGCTCGACTCCTGAGCCCATGTTTCAAGGTGCTTCATTTGCTCCACTGCAACATCAAGAGGCCAAAAAATGTATAAGAGACAGAGTGAAAATAGAACAACATGATCATCAAAGATTTATACTGAACAAATGAAGGATTCAATATTTGAATGTTTGTGATTTCAACATAAATTGTGAATTTATTTGTTTTTTAACAGCAGCAGCCAAAATCTGCTCTGACCAGAACGTCAGGAGGCAGTGATTTTCCCTCTTACAGGTTTTAAGGAGTCACCTGTCGACCTCATAACTCCAGCATAAATCTGCAAAATAACAAATGTCAGTAAATAAAACGGAAATAGATACAACATGACAAATCCATACAAGATGTCACTTAACAAGGCTCCGATCTGCACTGACAGCAACATCTTCACCAGCGTCTGCACCAGCGTCTGCACCGGCGTCTACGCAGCGTCTGCAGCGGCGTCTGCACCACTGTCTGCAGCGGCGTCTGCACCAGCGTCTGCACCAGCGTCTGCAGTGTAAACAACATGTCAGACCTTCACTGGTTTCTGTTGCTTTTCGCTCTGAGGCCTGATGTTTCTTTGAAAAGATTCACTTTCTCTCCGTGTCTTTAACTGCCCCAAACCTCAGAGATGTTTCTGTACTTCCTGCTATGAAAAAAACACAGGAATTACACAGTGACTCAAAGCTCTTATTGAGTTCATAGTTCTGTTCAGATAAAATGACTTAGTGCAGGACATTTCAGTAAAACTCTAAAACCACTGACTAACCCAGACGAGTGAGGAGAGAAGTGATTTTATATAAGAACAAGATCTGAACCTCTCAGGCCCTTCGAATAATTTTTGTCACAAAATCATGAATCTGTTCCCTTCACTGGAGGAAGGTCGTGCAGCATCAGTGCACGAGCGGCGGGCGTCTCCTCCTGGATGCATTTTAAAAAAGTGACGTTTTTGCCACACGCACAGCAAAAGGTGAAAGTGTAAACGCAGATCCACAAACCAGACAGAACATCTGCAAAGGGAAAGAAAAGGACGGGGTTTAGGTGTGGAAGACGGGTTTTTGAATGTACCATTAAAACAGGCTTTTTGTGTCAGTCTCTAATCTTTTTATCTTATTTTTATTTGATCGTTATTACCAAACAGGCTAATCGACATGCTGACGTGTTGCGCCCCCTGCAGGTCTGGAGCACTTATGTTGTGGTGACTTTTTTATGCAACATTTTTCTTTTGCAGGTGTTTTCTGAGTTTGTGTCGTTTTGTGCTTTTCTCTATTTGCATTTGACGATGACACATTTGTCTTTGTTTCTTGCAGTGCGTTTTTTTTCATTTGCTCCATGTTCTTTGTTTGTTCCTCGTTTAAACTTGCGTTTGAGTTTGTGAATTTGCGTCGTTTCTGTACTTGAAGTTGTTTTCTCAGAGACGTGTTGGGCGTTTGGCCCCGTCGCCCACTGTAACCTCCACTATGTCTGGTTGGTCCATCTCCGTCCTGTCAGTCTGTATCTGAAGTCCCACAGGATCTTGGCTCGGTCGTTCTCCACAACCTTTGGAGGTGTTTCCCACCTTGATCCTGGGGTCTCCAGTTCGTACTCTGCTCAGATGTTTCTGTGACTGTGGCTCCTCTTGGTTCTGTGGCTCCATGTTTGTTTCCCTGCAGCGTCTGACACCTGCAGGTCTGTGCTGGACTGTGTCAGGAGCCTCTGTGCACAGTTCACACTGTGACTCTGCTCTGTGTGCTACAAATGTATGATTTTTATTTTCTCTGGGGTTTAGTGGTGTCACTGTTTAAACATATTTAAATGTTATTTTAAATTTCTGTAAGTACATAACAATAATAATAATAGTACATTTTATTTATATTGCACTTTACATAAAAAAAAGTGCTACAGGTAAAAACTGTGAATAAAAGTGCATCAGCAAATAGTGAATCAAGCTAAAACTATTGCAGGAACCACTAAGATAAAACAGAAATAAAATACAATTAACAAAAGGCTTTAGTAAAAAGATACGTTTTAAGATTTCGTTTAAAAACAGAAATAGACTGTGGGGCTCTCAAGTGGTCGGGGAGAGTGTTCCAAAGCCTTGGAGCTTTGTTACGCGTCTGTAATAAAAACGGTTTCCTCTGATTCTGAGTCTGTCGTTGCACCACTGATGGTCCAGATGCAGCTGAAGATCAGCTCCAGTGAAAGGAAGTGTGTGAGTGAAGCTTCAGTCACAGTTTTACAGATTCATCAGCGTCTCAAATGTCCAAACACGCTCAGGATTAAAGAAGAAACACAAAAACATGACCCAGTCTGGTGGAGCCTGATGGACTCGTGCGTCCGCTGCAGAAGACACTGGTCACGAGTTCTGCTTTTTCTGCCTCTGTCTCTTGTGCCCAG